CGCACCACGCCGGCGTACAGCACTCCGACGTCGGGCCCGCCCAGCCGAGGCAGCAAACGTTCTAAGGCGTTCGCCGTCGCCTCAACAGACGGCGCTCGAAGTGAGCGCTGGAGGGCCGTCGGTCGCCTCAACAGACGGCGCCAGGCGCTCGAAGTGAGCGCTGAAGGTCCAGTGGATATCGAGGGTTGGGCCCAGATACTTCATGCTGGTTTCGACCCCGATCTCAGCCCCCTCCAAACTGGAGGCGTCCCGTGATCGGCCTTGCGGCAAAACCACATTGCCTCGGATTTCTCAGGGGACACCTTCAGTCCCAGTCCCTTGATGTCGGCGATCACGCAGGCCACCGACAGCTCCGCCAGGCGGACCGTTCTACCTCATGCCGTGCCCCAGACCAGCACCAACGTGTCGTCGGCGTAGCACGTCAGTACTGAGTTCGGTGGTATCGGCGTCCGAAGCACTGCGTCGTACGCGATGTTCCACAGCAACGGACCCAACACCGAACCCTGCGGGACCCCGCGATGTACAGCCCTCCTGGTCACCCCTCCGCCCCGGACGGTACAGACGATACTCCGGTCTCGGAAGAATGCCCGGAGCACATCCCGCAGATACGCGGGCACCCGATGAAATTCGAAGGGCCGGCATATCCTGTCCTAGAGGATGCACACAGCTCGTCCTACCATCGAGCCAATCCGATCCAGCAGAATACGGACAACCAGTAATCGACAAAGAGTTGGGCAGCAGCTTCAATTAACTTTACCTTGGCAGAGATTTTGAGTACCCTCTCAACAGGGGGAGGATGTTACGTCGGGCGACACTCTACCTAGACCAGGCTACACACCGCGGGCCAGACGGGAACCAGATGTTCGCTTATCCTTACTGCGTACACTCAATAGTAGGACCCATCGTAAATCTCAGGAAGTCGCTAGCTAAGGTCCTTCAGACCGGACAAATATCGTCTTTCTAAATCTCTTTCTAAAGAGTATTGTCTACTACGATTTGACACGGGAAAGTTAATTTTTCTGACGTACGATGCTTTCCACTAACAACTTTCTAACGAGGGCGGCTAATACGCTTCCTAGTCCACCAACCTTCGTTTCTCCAATCCGAAGCAAGGTATACTGTCCTCACTTTCCTGATCAAAAATGTCATGAACAAATCCGACGGTCCCGTGCGCTAGACACACCTATCGTTAGCTTCCCTCCGACACAGCATTGGCACGGTAAATTACTTCTTCTACAACGCTAGAAAAGTCAACTTTACTTATTCTACAACGTTAGAATAGTCAACATGTCAGTAACGGGTTAGTTCAGCTCTGTCTTTTTCCTTATTGCTACGTCAACTATAACAAAAACTCTACGAGCCTTGCTCTATCACCAACGAATAGTGTGCCATTGTATCGCGTCTCTTTACGCTAAATCATTGTCGACGATATATATCATAAGCAACGGTGTAACATAAGTGGAAAAAATAAAAACCTTATAACCCTGTGAATCACAGTGTTATACTAACTTAACCACTCCTATTATCTTAACGAAAATCAGCGGATCGATCATCTCGTGGTGTCGATTATTATAATCGTAACGGCAATTTACGACTCCTGTTGACGTGTTTCCTCGCGATTGCATCTCCCCGCGATTGGTCGAAAATACATCTTACATAAATTAATTGATTTAGGTAGTGGTTGGTATTGTGAATGAATCCGCGTCTTGAATCGATATTTGTTTGTAAGGCAATAAAGTTTCTATTCACAAAATAAAATACAGAACTTGTCCGCAATAAGGAAGCTACAATAAATGAAGAAATCGAACAATTAGAAGATTGGTTTCGATCAACAAACAACGGAAATACGGTTTGAAATCCTTTTTCAATTCTAAGGTGAGTTGTGAAGTAACAGAAATTAATGAACAACTAATCGAGAAGTTCTTCATAGTACAGCCAGTAGTAAGAAGTTAGACATTGATAAATATAAAGAATTGTTAAAACGAACAAAAGAATTATATTTAAGGTCATATGATTGGTGCTATATAAGTATAGTACTTTCATAGCACTTCTCGGATATCGTTATAATTGTACTGCTTCCCTTGCACTTCTAATTTGCATTCGAATGACGTAGCATTATTTATAACACTACT